AAAAAAAGAAATCCCTTTTCTATGAAACTGCATCTTCATAAAATGGCTGCCACAGAAACGCAGCCTGTTCTGCTTTGCAAGGCTGCAGTGCTCTGCAGCTCACTTCCACACAATAAGCCCTGCTACGGCTCTAAAGCTTGCATATCTGAGCAGAAAGCAGGCTTAACGCTGACCCACTCCCAACAAATATTGCCAAGCTGTGTTTTATGCTCTGCAGAAGTGCAAGCTGGAAGGACAGGCAACTGTTTGTGCGGCTCATGTATTCCACAGAGACACACAAACAGTCCTTTGCACTAGGACTGAGAGAAAAGGATCAACCTTAAAGAAATGCCCAAGAATTTAAGGAAAGTTGCACATATGCAATCAATGCATCTTTGCGTGTCACCCATTCTTTCCACACAAAATTCCCACTCCCCGATTTACAGGTATGCCTTATGTATCACAATCTGTACTTTGGAGAGCAGCTTTTAAACATAAGGTGACATTAAGAATGTGTATTGTGTAGCTGCTCCTCCTCACCACATCTTCCCTTAAAATAATAATCTGGCATCTTCTGCCTGATTTGAAAAGGAGGTTTTGGTTTGGTTTTTTTCAAAAAAGGCAGAAGATGACAGCTTTCTTTTTTTTGTTTTTTTAAATAGTACTACCATCAAAATTTTGTTCCAGTACTTAAGCTTCAGGTTAGGGACAGGTGTTGGTATCTCTGCAACATGGTAGTTTTAGATTGGGTTTAGAAAGTTAAATGGAATCAGTGAACCTTAATAGTGATAGTTAAGCAAAGTGTGCTGGGTGTATAGTGACAGACAGGTGTTGCTATTCATCTCAAATGCCCCAAGAATGATCTAAATGCAGACTTGTTCACACTTGGAAGCTGTTAAAGAGTTAAATTTCACATCATTTTCCCTCAAGGATAATTTCTGTTTCAAGACAACTCTCAGAGGAATGTATGCTGGCTTGGCATATGTTTTTTTGCTTTCCTAGGGCTGGAAATGCAAGTGTGACAATTCCTATCATATTCCCCAGTCATTGTACTAAAGTACTCAACAGACAGTGAGTGTCTTCAGGTTCAACACTTTTTCTAGGCCTGTATTTTTGCTTTTCAGAAGCTCAGATCAATGGCACCAGTCACTTCCACCTTACCCACCCATTTCCATCACTACAGCCTGCAATCAAAATTATACAATGTGACTTCAAACATTATTGACATGTTTCTGAACTTGTCCCACAAAAAAAAAATGACAAATGACTGGTCAGAAGCATGCTATGGGCACACATCAACATGTTTCAGTGTTACAGTAAAGCAAGTTACAGGCTTTTACTTCCTGGAAATCATTTCTCCTATATCTTACAACTCAACCTCAGGAAGTAAAGCACGTTTTACGACATTCAGCTGACTCACAGCTCAGAAAATAAGCTTGACATGGTTCACTCATAGGTTCTGTTCAATTGTTCCCACACTTCAGGCGAGTGAATGTTACCAGAAGTAAATTTATTCTAGTGAGGATGGGAAAGGGGGCAGAAAAATGGTAACCTTTTTTTTACTTTTGTTTAATACAACAGGTGTCACACAGACAGCTTGATCAATGAGGCTAAACACACGATTTACAAGAAAGCAAAAATTGCATGCCAGACTATGCAAATAAGACCTCAGGGGCAGAAAAAGAACGGAAGGTTGTGTGTCTGTGTTCCCTATTATCTCTAGGTATCACCAAAACTTCATTTTGTATTTAACACGTTTGTCACACTTCTGAAATGCCTCTATTCAGATTACCATAAAAATTATTGTTGCTGCTGCTTTTGCAACTGATAATGCACATTTAAAGAGACATCTGAATTAAACTGCTAACCAACTTTTCTTTTAAGTAAAGCCCATTCGACCTCTTTTAGATGCATTTCACAACCATTAGTTACAGTAAAAGAATGCCATTAAGGTTGGAAAACAATATATAGTGTACTTTTAAAATGCAAGCCCTTGAAAGTGCTATTTTAGTATGTTTTTAATATCCTTTTAAACGGATGTATCCAACAAACATTTTAAATCAAACGATAGTACCTATTTCATTGTGACCTCTTTTATTTCATTGCAATTGTAAAGCATACCCAAATACTATGCAAGAGCACATTTTAAAGGATTCTTGTAAAATAACCTCATCAGAAACATGGTTCTATCCCAGTATTTCAAGTTCTCATGTCCGGGAATGGATTAAATACTGGCCATCAAGAACAGCATTCGTATACATTAACCTTATATAGTGCACATGTCATACAAAAGATAGTTGTGGAGAATGATTTTATTGTTGAGTTGCTTCAAAAAAAATACTCAAAAAATAAAACAAGCCATAAATTAAATTATGTTAACACAAAACCAAAATTCAGCATACTTACAAGCCACAGAAGAGCAGTGCAAAAATTTTAGACTCATTTTAGAACAAACACGCATTAAAGTACAAAAATGAGAAGTTTTACAAATATATTCTGTATGTCCATCAAATGGAAACAGCTTTCCAATGTTTTGTATTCGTCCCTAAATCAAGGTTAAGTTTGCAAAATCTGAAAAGAATTGTATTACTTTACATAAAAGTAAATAAAAAACCACAATGAGCAAAAATATAAAAACAATCAAAGGACTCCAAGGCTCCCATTAACAATCTCAGGTTATATATTATGAGCATGAAATACTACCACCACGAGGGGAAAAGTTTGGTAAAATTGTATCAAAATATCCTAAAAATACCTAAACAGTATCAAAGTTCTACAAGCCCAAATAAAATTTGAAGAAAGGGGTGTCAGTCAAACAGACACTTTTCAGTTTATATTTTAAAATGAGGTTTTTTTCATTCATCTAACTTCCTCTAGTGTCTATTTACTATAATTTACTACTACCAGGCTTCTGTATGGCCCTCAGTTAAAGTTTAGACTTCTGCGATTCTTCAAAGAAAAATCTGCCTTGTATGTAAAATGGTGCAATGCAGCAATGGCTAAACCGACAAGGTCATTTTTCACAGCACAAAAACCTAAAAACTGAAATTCAGAAACATAAAAAACATAACACTGAGAAAAGGACTCCCTTGTATAAAGGTACATTACCTTTTGACTGTGACATGGGCCCTTAAGTCACAACACAACTTTCAGAAATTGCTACCAAAAAAAAATTTAGGGTGTGGCATGTTAACAATCTCAAGGTCATTCCTCAAAAAAGAATCAAAATCAGTAAAATATTCTGCATTAAGTATTGACAGGAGCCCAGGGCTGTCCAGGTAAACAGTGTATTCAGAGGTTTTTACAAAAAAATAAAATAAAGTTGACAGATCATACCTCGATGCATGGCTGTGAACTGAACCCTCCTCTCCTTGGCTTTTGTCCTTATTTCTCATCATCTTTTAATTCTTAAATATTAAGGGGGGTGAGGGGTGTCTGTGTTTGCTTTGAAGTCCTGTGCCCAGGTATTTACTGTCAAAAGTTGAAAGAAAGGTAAGGTCCCAGTTTGTCTCATTGGCTTTCGTTAGCAGGAACAAAGTCCTGACGCTGCAATGATATTGTTATAACAATACACAACACCAATCCACACGGGAAAACGGAGATTTAAAAACAAGAATATTCATTTTGAGAAGGGGGGGAAAAAAAAGAGAGAGAGAGGAGCACACACACACACCAGAGGACCATCCTGCAAACTTTCCCAAAGTAACAGTGGATGCAAATAATCTCTGTATTTTATTGCGTCATCCCAAGGCAGCTCAAATCCGTCGGAAAAAAAAGAATCAAAGGACTGAAAACGGCAGAAATTGGAAAACGAGGATTATTAATTGCCCACCTACCTGATCCATGCACCGGCGCCAGGACCCAGGCGATTTTAGTTTCGGGTGGTGGAAAAACATTAGATCCAAAATATTTCGAGGGAAAACGATCGAACAGAAAAACGTACAAAAACGGCAAGGAAAAACAATTAAATAGATGCTAATCCACAAAATAGGTTGCTGTTAAAGCAGGAGAGGCGATAATTAGTACCAAAAATGTCCGGGGGAAAAAGCTCATTAGGAGAGCGCACAAAAATGGAGGTACGCCATGGCTTCTAAGCTGGAAAAACAACGACCTGGGCTCTCTCCACGGCTTCTTCTTTCCAGCAAGGCACGAAAAGAGTGCCCTCAAAATGTGCTTTTCTGCCCAAAAAGGGCTCGATCAGCCCCCGACCGGTGCCCAGGAGAGGCAAGGGGCCGTGGGGGCCCCCTGAGGCTGCCCGAAAGTTGGGGAAAGTTGCGTAAAGTGTCGGGGAAGGCACGGAGCGGAGCGCGCTCTCTCTAAGGCACAGCCGCCATCTAGAGCTCCTTCCCAGCTCTGAGCTCTGCCTTTGATTGACACTCTCTACATTTACCCCACAACTCAGGTGATGTACCATAGACCCACCCCTTCATTTCTACCAAAAAAAGAGAAAGCCTCCACCTCAAGGGTGCCTGCCACCCCCCAGCCCCTGGCTCCCCGAGACCACCCCAGCTGGAGGGGCACCTTAACCCCAGCTGGCTCAAGCACCCTTTGCCACCCAGCAAAAAATGCAATTTGTTCCTTTTGTTGTCAAGATTTGCTAAATATTTCAGTCCTTGGGCTAAAATTACTTCCTCCCTGGACAGGAAGTGCTGCTGGAACAAGCCATTTTGAAAGAATTGGAAGTGGGGCTAAGAGGCAGGGATTCAGCAAGTGCCCACCTTGGTTGTCCACCCCACCCAGTGGGGAGCAGTTCAAATAGGTGGGGTTACAAGGCCATTTGCAAGGGGGATTTCCTCCAGTTGCCACTGAGTGCCTGCAGGCTTGGGGACTGCAGCCACTCCAGCCCTGAGCAAGCAGCTAGCCAGGGTAACTCTGCTCAGCTCCACAGCGCCTCCCTGGTGGCTCTGCTGGAGAGGAGCAAAATTGCAAGAGCTCTCATTTTCCTGCAGCAACTCAAGGCATGGTTGTGAAGGCTGCCATCTTTGCAAGTCCATCCCCCAGTCCCATTTCTTAACCCATTCTTATTAGGAACAGCCTTCAAAACTCCTGGGAGTGGCACTTGCACAGCCACCTTGTGTTCAGGGCCCAGGGTGAGTGGTGCCAAACCAGCCAAGTTCTCAGATACAGCACCCTGGAGTTGAGAAAAACTCCACACTGAGGAAATGGAAGAAGCCTAAGCACAACACCATGCCCTTCTCCTCCACCACCACCATTTGTTGGTCCACACAGAGGAGCAATAACCTGCCAGTAAGTGTCACAGGGGCTTTTCACACTATTTTAAATAGATTACACAAGGTGCTGGAACAAGACATTAGTGGTCCAGATTTTGAGGCAATGTTCTGATTTGGTCTCATACTGAGTGCATCAATGGCACAGGGTCTCAACCAATGCAAGCATCAACTTCTACCAGCAAAACCAAGAAGTTCTCTTTTAACTCCTCCACATCTTTCCCAACCATACCCTCAGTCAGTCCATCCCATCTCTTCAATCTAGCCTGATCCCCAATAGTACTCACTAGAATAGGTTGATCTCCTACACTGTAATACCAACTTACTGACATGCTATCGATCAAATGCTTATAGAAGAATGCTAGCGACTCTGTGCACTTTTCCTAAATTAAAAAATTTAATCCATAAATGTAAAAAAAAGACATTGTAATGCCAAAATGAATTTGTACAGTATTCAGGAAATCCACTACTGTGAAAATTCGTCTTTTTAGACAGACCTCAGAACTTAATTCCACTATATAATAAATGGTGGAAACACATAACTTGGATGACAAGTATGTATATTCAACATCACAAGACAACAGTTTGGTACAACCGCTATCACATTAAAAAGAATCCAACAACTTATCAGTAAAATATGAACAACCCACATGATTAAGTCGCAACATTTGGAAGAACCCCTTTGTCTACATTGTCTCAATAGGTAGCACTAGGTCTGTCCTGATATTCCAATGTAAGAGGGGAAAAATTGGACTACCAGTTCAATAGGAAGTTTCAAATATAAAAATGTTTCTCTAGATCAGATGGTTATAGTAATTTATTAATTTTTTGTGTAAGTTGAAAAACTGATTTTTGAACATTATTTTTATAGTCAATTTAAGTCCATAAAGGTTAAGCTTTGGTGTTTTACAAGTAATAATAATAAAAAAAGCAGATCAGAATTGCTCTACTTAATTTTTGGCAAGTAAAAGGGCAACTATTAAAGCAGTTAAGTGTATATTAGAGGATAGACATGAATTTTGGACATTTTGTACAGACCCAATCTGAAGAAATCTGAATAGGTTGTTTAGAAGAGCCAAGGTAAAAAACTCCAAAAATAGATTTTTAGAATGACATGCACACTTTTTTAAATAACCCCAAATATAAATCAAGATTTTGACACAAGCCATCTTCAATTTTTAAAAATATACTGTTCAGGAAAGTCATTTAGAATTCAGTAGGGGTGAGCGCACACACAGCTAGAGACAAATAAGTAAAACAAGGTAACAGAGATGTTGGAAGAACTCTTCAGTCAGACCAACCACAGTTAAGAGGGGCCCTTCACTGTAAGCCAATTGTCATGTTTTATTGTCAAGATTGCAAATCCCTTACTTGAAATTTGTTCCATCCTATAGCAACCTGAAGTTTAACAAAATTGAATATTTTTAACTCACCAAGTACAAAACAAAATTAACAAGCAAACAAACAAACACCCCCACCCCTTTCTCAAGTAGTTGCTGCACCCCTGAACACAACCCAGAACAGACTCTTTTTGAAAACTGTGACCAAGTGAAGAGCCTTGGAACCAAATACCACATTTCAAATGAAGCATCTCATGCCTTCAACATTTATCACATTTCAATAGTTCTTATTTTTATACTACCACACAAACAAAAAGTTAAAATACCCAAGCATCAATACATTTTAAGACTTTTTCCACCACAAAAGACAAACCAAGAATAAAGTATAAAATATTTTTTATTAAATAAATCATTTGTTATAGCACAATAATACATTTTGTCTTATTAGGCAGCAATACATCTGATGCCACCTTAAGTTCCTGGTTAAGTGAACGTCTCCTGAAGCAAAAAAAAAAGAAAAAAAGAAAAAAAAAAAATGACATCCACCCCTCCAACAGATCCATCTTCTATTCACCAATGTAATACCCTTAGGAACTCAATTCAGTCCAATGTCCATTTTGGAAAGATGATCACAAACCCACATCTTCTCTGATTTAGTAATACTGAAGTCCATGTTAAAATGCCCCTGTCTTGGATGGATATATCACAGCACACATGCATTAGTCCATTTCCTCAACCTCTCAATCAACAGTGGAACTGCCATCTTGGTTTCCCATTCGTAGACTCCATTTGACACTCTTCATCTGACTGGATTCTTTATAAAAAATTAAAAGAAAAATGCTGTTGGAATATAGGTAATCTTATCCTTAAACTAAAGCAGAGATATTCAAGTACTGTTCTTCAAAGACATTTGAAACATCTATTTCACAGTTAAAGCTTCATGAATTTGGTTCAGTTTAATTACACATGCCAGAACACCTGTTTTTGTCACAGGCTAACGTGAGTACATCCCACAATATGATAGCCAATTAGCATTTTTCCTTTTAAAAAAGTATAATAAAAAAATTGAGAGGACAATTAAAAACGTGAATAAAAAAATTTCACATTGATAGTTTCATAAGAAATTACATAAGGTAAAAAGAGTTTTGAAGTCTAGCAACAAGTGATACTATGTTCACCTCAAGTTGAGGTAAACAAGTTATTACTGTTAAGTACTTTCAGTCAGTATAGACCATCTCATGAGGCTCTGACGTGGAAGGTAAACTTTGTTACAATTAAAGTTGGTATTTTGAATTACAGTCTCTACTTCAAAATACCAAAGTCATAAAAGGTAGGTTTACCAAGACAGGGTGTTACTGGAAAACACTAGAAATTCCTAGAACAGCACCTTCTTAGCTTCAACAGCCTAGCCTACAAGAAACGCATGGCAATTTTCTATGCAATTAACATTTGAAAATATATGGAATTATCATTTTCGTGGTTTCTGGGAAAGGAAAATGCCAAAATGAGATGGAAATTAAGGTACAAGTTATAGTACTTTGAGTAACTGCCTTCAGCATGGCCATCAGGATGCCACACCAGCCAATCACACTTCCTCCAACCCTCCAAATTTACTCATCATGCAATGGCAGCAGTCTGGGTCAAAGCAACAAGTGGCAAATGAAGCCCCACTGTAACTTAGATCAAAACAGGACATTTGGTTCAATATCAATCTTTTTCATTGACTTTCAAGGAAAAAAAAATGGACTTTTTACTTCTGTAAATGATTTTTGACCCCAGTGGACAAAACTGAAACAGGAAACCACTACATGGCAGAATAGCAAACAAAACTTTAAAAACCTATACATTGCCAGGCAAGTACCATCTACTGGGGGGAAAAGCTTAAAATGTAAGAAAGGTTTTTCATTATTATTCTCTCTTGATTTTGTTTATTTGCATCCCAGTTTTGCTTTTGAGACCTTTTATTTCCTCCTGGTTTTTGTAGCATGCTTTTTTAACTTAGCCATTAGTTCAGTTTTACAACTAATACCACCAGTATTTGGTCTGCTTAGAAAGTTCTAGAATATTAGACAGCAATGGTTCTGAAAGTCTGAAAAACACCACAGAACTGAGTGCAGCCATCTAATTTGCTTTTGGGGTTTGTATTTGTTAGGGGGGATTGCCTCATCAAGAAAGTTCCACCATTTTCATTTCAAATATCCATGCACAACAAGTGAAAAATCCTACAAGTTAATGAAGAGGTTCATCTCCCAGTTTCATGAGTGCCATTTATATCATGGTCCCTATGCTAGCATTCCTCTAGGGGCAAAATGTCCCCCTCTCCACCACTTTATTACAATGTACTTCTACATCAGTGAAATGAGACCTGCCGTTTTGCTTCAGATTACATTGCACGATGTGGGCAACATACAACACATAGCCCAAGTTTATTTTTTTGTTCACACAATATGACTACTTAGGCAAGCAAGGAAGTATTTTAGAACAGTATTATCTGAGTTTAAGTTCATACTAATTTATCAAATCAAACATGCAAAAAGCCTAGATTTAAAGTAGTTTAGGCATCCAAAAATAGGCCTTTTTTAATTTTGTAAAAAGCCAATTACGTCTAAGGCACCAAAAAATGAATAGCCATGTTTTATCAATTGCCTCAGTCAAATATGAAGGCTTAAGCGAATACCCAATACATAAACAAGTCATTAAGTTCTTACTACTTCTGTTAAGAAATAAGGGAAGCTTAATCATTGGCTTGCTAACCAGTCTGGTCTTCAAATTATGCAAATCTAATTCTATTCTTCTGCCTGAAAAGCAAGTAAATTTGATGAAAGACATCTAATCCTAACTTCTTTTGGTTCAGCCATACTTGGTTATACCAAGTAGGCTGATACAGATATGGGGGGGAAGAAGTGGGGAGACATCTTTCATTATAAAATAATTGATATTACCCTTTAAAAAGAATCCCCAAATTTCACATTTATACACTCATTAGTATTTCTGTAGAAAGATCCACCCCCTTCCTCCCAAACCTGTTATAGCAGAGGGCAACATATTAACAGCATTCACTGAAAAGCTATGCTCATTTGGACATGATATCTAATACTAAAAGTTTTAATTAACATTTTTTCAGACTACTTGTCTATTCTATATGGTTTTTACAAAGAGATCTGATAAAAAAAAACAATGTCTGCCCAGAATGTATTCTTCCCTCCAGTAAGCTTTTAAAAATCACTAGGTATTTATTGGAATCAATGATCACATAGTTGTCAAATTTTGCTACTTGAAGCTTACACTTTATTTACATCCTTCTGTAGAATTAGTAGGCTAGACAGCCACCCACATTTCAAAATGTTCTCAGCCTACTGGCTATTGTATCTGTTTCTGACTAAACCAAGTTAATATTCTAGCCAGTATACAGTGCAATTCTAGTAAGTTTCCCCCACAACACTGCCAAAATTCATGTCAAACTATCCATTAAGTAGGAACAGTCAATTTTTATGAAAAGGTTTAAACTCAGTTTGGATATTTTTAAGTTCATTTTATCATATTCTTACAATCACAAACCAACTTTTTGCCCCCATGTTGAAAGATGGGCAAGAGCCCACAGAAACAAACAAAAATGAAATCTGTTATAGCCCTAAGTGTTCTTGGTTTGTTCCCTTAGCTGTCAAAAATCCTTGTTTCACTACACTACCACAGTACAGAGCAAACAGTCAGAAGACTTCACTTTTGCCAAAATTTACAAAGTAGGCTTTCTCTGCATGGACAGAGGTGTGACAGACTTTTACACTAGTACAAAGATGTCACCTCATCTTTCACTGAAGGATAATGAAATGAATGAAAATTCTCTGTTCAACAATACTTGATGAGACCTTCAAGGAAAAGAAAAATATAAGACTGCCTTTTACAGTCTCAGAAAGCCTCAATGTGGTTCTGGACCACTTCAAGAGGTTGGGGGGGGGGGAGGGTCCAATTCCCACTGATATTAACATACCTCTTGCCAGGATAAGGTTTTGTAAGAGAGACTGTCCAGTTTCGCTCCTTTCCCACTGAGACAATGCTGATTTTAACTATAGGTGCTCATATAGCACAGCAATGAGCATGACAACTTCATACACACGGCTATATAAATTTTTGGCTCACAAAAATTTTCCCCCAGATTCCTTGGATTTTATTTTACCTGAAGTTGGATCCAAGAGTTTTTGCTGACATCTCATGTTTTGAAATTAACTGTAATGTCTGGGGAGTACCTCTGAAACCAAGCATTCTAGATGGCAATGAGAACCCAATGCCAAATACAAACGTTTATTTGTGAGCACACACATTTTTCTAATTCAAAAACAACTTGAATCCCAAACTATTAGCTCACTGAAAAATGTGAACTTAATCTACCTTTGAACTTGATGAAAAATGACACCAAGGTCTTCAAAGACCAATAAATTAGGTTGTGCTCATTTAATTTACAAATACATGTTAAAATAGCTCTTCCTTAAGATCGGTTCAGGGTTCCAAGTTGAGATGCAGCCTACTCAAGAAATTACATAAAGAAAGAAGACTTCCGCAATGTATGCCTGAGGTGTCACTAAATTACTGCTTGAGAAACAAGAACCCTGATTACATGAGTTTTTAAATCCAAATTAGAGGAATAATAAAGTATAAGAAACAAGAAGGCAAAAGTTACCACAAAAGGTATGAGGCATGCCAAGAAAGCATAGAAATGCTTATACTTTTAAACAGAGGCTTTAGCGTGGCAAGAAGGAAGGTGATGAACACAGCACAACGGTCTCTACTGGATAACGTGGCACAAGCAACCTCCAAGAAGGAATTTCAAGGTGCAAACATTGTTTAAAACACAGCAAAGCATATTCTGATCCAAATGTAGGTATCACTGTGGAAAACAACACAGAATAAAACTGAAGAAAGAAGAAACCTAACAGTACAAACAGGAAAAAGTTGAGGAAAAAAAAAAGCACACGTAATCTTCAAAAATTAAGTCACCAAGCTCAAGGCCCCACAAGCCCTAGGACAACAATCTAGCAAATTCTAGATTGTACAGCTAGGCTTGCGAACTCCGCTTAACTGCCTGAAGGCATGGGAAGTTTTAATCAAAATGAAGATTTTAAATTAATTAAAAGAAATAAAATACTATAGCCCCTAGCATATTTATTTTTAGATTTAAAATATGGTCTGTGCTACACCTGCACCCACTCACTTTGCGTTTACAATATGCTCTAGCTTTATCTAGTCTTGACAAGAATGACTAATTTGGAAGTTATCAGGAAGAGTGAGCAGCTTTGGCAACCACATGCAGAGCAATGGGGTATTTGGCACCTGTGGAGGCACAGAAGGCAACATACATTACAAGGTAAGCAGAAACACCCAGATAATGTGGTAATACAAGTAGTAGTGAAACTATCAAGATGACTGAATGTCATCTCCTTGTTTCGAAGTTAACAGATGCTGGACTGTCTTCACATCTTGGAAGTACTGCCTGCAGTCTAAGGCACTACTGAATCAGTTAATATTTCACATTTGGAAGATTATCTTCAAAAGTAAGAAAGATGAAGAGATTATAATCTGAGTCAGTTCTGTAGCAAAATGTGAATTTAATAGTAAATTTTGTCATTGCAGGACCTTAAAATGCACTAAACACCCTGGTTAAAGCAAGGACCAAGGTGCCTGAAGTTTATACAGAGACAGTCAAGAAGCCTGATATTTTGGCAGATGAAAGAACCCCAAGAGAATTACGTACTAAAGGCAGCAAAATCTTGCCCCAGAGTTTGGTTCTTTTGATAACCAGAAACTGAAAACAAAATGCTATTCCCCATGAACTGCCACTACCATTTTCATCCAGTAATAATACCTACAAAGTATTATCAACCCTTTTCTCTTATTCAGACCTGGCAATCTTGCCTGTTGATTGCACAGATAATTATTCCTAAACGAGATCCTATAAACTACCTCTTTAAAACAGTAGTTCATACACCCAAAATCATGTATTGTCCTTTGTGAAGCTAAAGGCCTCTGATCCCAATTAAGTAAAGACATGAGAACAATCCCAGAAAAGAAAATTCCTTTGAGATGGTTACTAACCAGCCTGCTGAAGATGAAGAACCTTTGTTGATGTTAACTGGAGAACGCAAGGACAGCCCCTAACAGGATGCTTACAACGCTGTTCATTGGGCTATGTCGTTTGCTACTCTGTATTACAAATGTGTAATACAGCATTAATGAAACACAGCAGTACTTTTAGAAAGTAATATATTTAATGCATTAAAGGACTAAGTAAAAAAAGAAGGATTACTGTAAATCCTACAATACCTGGAAGAGACTTTAAAATAAGCAACTGAGCCATGTAAGATGCCACGTAAAAAACTGCATTCTTTTGTGTAAAATCCCCAAATTAAGAGTTTACTACTCTGGTCCTTTCAAAAATCATTTTTTTTAAATATACTTAAAGTCAGTTTAAAAAAATTAAATAAAAAACTTTTATCAAGTTAAAACACTACATCCACAGAGAATATATTTTAAATCATATGTAAACGTATTAGCAAAAACGGCTTACCAGTGCTTCAGTCAACATCAGCTACTTTGTATATATTGAGTAGGTCAACCTCCTACAACATACCTGCAAGGGAAAATTAAAACACCCAAATTCAGTCAACTGAGATTTAAAAAACACATTTTAATATGAACACACAAATGACAGCTTCAGCCTACCCCAAAGCCCCCATTCTGTGTAGATGAAATAAATACTCAGCAAGAGAGAACAGTCCAAAAAAGTTGAAGTATTTGGAAGGGAGAAGGCACTTGGGCCAAAAATTGTAACTGTACAGACTGTGGTTTTAGGTCTTGTTAAACTCACCACTGCAGTTTACAACTACCCTATGCACCCAGCTACATTAAAGCCCATAGACACAAAGGTGCAACTGAAAAAGGAAGCTGAAACTAGCCATCTGAAAACCAACCAGATGGAGGAGACTACAGCACCCATGTAAAATACCCTGATACTTCCAGTCTACTTCCAACTCACCTACTCTGATAGCAATAACTGGAACTCTCAAAGTTCCAGGTGATACTGCAGTTAAAAAAGGATCCTCAGGTGATCCTCGGTATCACTCAGGTAATAATAAAGTTAAATATAGTACAGGTATTCAAACACATTTTGCCATGCAGCTAATGTTTCTTATAATGCAGCTGTAAGAATACAGCAAAATTCTAGACCCAACACATTTTTCCACACGTGGTCAGCTGGAATGAACTGAAGGCCTATTTTTATAAACATCTACTCATAGCCCATATCAGTATTAGTATATTGGTCCATCTCCAATAGGTAGGTAGGTAAATATGTAACTACAACATGGAGAGCAAAATACTAAAAGCTCTTTTTTGCGCTCAAAAACCTTCATCTGAATCAAATGATCTAAAGCAATAAACCATACAAATTACCCTACAAAAAGAGTCAGGATAAATTATTCCCTTATGCTTCAGGTAACACATTCCTCTTGAAAAGTGTAATCCCCAATATGTCATAATATATGAATACATTCAATGAGTTGGGAAATTCTGATGCAGTTTTATAAATTCCAATCCTTTACTTCAGCTCTCTTCCTTACAAGTTACCCTCTTCACTTAATACTTACCATTCAACATCAGATCTTTCCATTTTAATTATCATTTCAAGTAAACTAGCTCCAACAAAAAACTTATTGAAATATCGTTACTTTTCACATCTAGATATCCAACGCACTTAAAATGATAATCAGTATATGCTAGTCAATTTATGCAGATACACTGATGTGGAGCTTATAGGTTTAAACAACACATTTAAAAGTGATTCAACAGCTGCTATTTGATCCAGTAGGATATGGAGTACAGCAGTCTGTTTTTTCAGCATACTTCCATTTTCATTCAGTCAGCTAAAGGAGGTTCTTTATCAAAGAAATTTAGGCTGGAACTTAAAAGATTTTTAACTATCAGGCTATGAAACTCTAAATCAACTTTCCAGTAGTACTGAGGCAAAAACCACTGACTGTTATGATGAGTATATGAAAGACACTATGATATGGTTGCCTGAAACAGCAAGGGACTGGACTTGAAGACCTAAGTGGTTCCTTCCAGTCCTATGTTCCAAGCAAAGATGGGCAAAATTTGAGATGAAACAGAAACAATATGCTCATTTGTCCAATTAAAAAAAAAAAGTGTACAGAAGACATTATCACTTCACTCTTTAAGAAAAATATGCAACACAAACAACTTTAAAGTAACTATATAAAACCTATGGAGAAATTCAAAGCCCAATCTAGGCACTTCTAATGGCGTTTCATAATTTCTTGGCATCAGTCACCTACATTTAGAGATCTTTTTCAATGTGCATTTAATATCTTCTTAAACTAATTTCACAACGACCTTACTAGCAGTAAAGTCATTCTGCCTTCCTCAAGTTACAGGTCTGAGCAAGAATGCTTTGCATTCAAAAACGTATCTAATGTTATTGCAATCATACAATTGGTCCAATTAAAGATTGCAAGGTAGATTTGCACCTTATAGACTAAATATGGATATTGCAACAAAAGATATCACCCAAAGAAATCCAGAGACCCTAAACTCAAGAAAGGCAACAGACCAGTTCCAAAGACAAAGGAAGCAGGATTGAATATACTGACTTAAGGGCTTTTTACAAATCAGTACAATATTGGTAAAAAAAAAAATCAAGTAGCACTGTCTACCCCCTAAGTCAGTGGTCTCCAAACTTTTTTGATCACGCACCCCTA